TGCCCCCTCTTCTGACTTCTCCTTGCTCATGAAAGACTTCACAGTATCTCCTTTGAAAAAAAATGCTACTTGAAAAAAAGTACTCCTACGACTTCATATTTTTGGAACCCTATCTTTATAGGTCTCAAAATGACTTCTATTTATTTCGATGGTGATTATAAGCAGGGGAGCTCAATGCAGAAACCCAGGGTTTAAATCCTGGCTCTGCCTCCAACTAGTCGGGGAAGCAAACTGCTAATCCACCCTGATGCAGTTCCCTCAACTTCTATAAAATGGTGAGTCCTGAAGATTAAATGAGCAAAATACAGGTAAAATGCTAGAACAATAAACAACTGGCAAAGAGCAAGCATGCAATACAAGTTCCAGCTATTACAACTACTGTCAGATTCTAAGAAAAAAGACCCAGTTTCCCTTAAATCTAGTCAAGATGCTTTAGCCGGCCAGAGGGTTTGCTGGATTTCAGATGAAATTTATAGAAAGTAAATGAAATTCAAATACAGCTAATAGCTCCCCTCCCTGACTGTGCAATTACGTGTACTCATTGTGTGTGTAGCATGTTATTATTTAAATGTCCTCAATTTCAGCCCCAGAGGGCCAGGGGCCCTCAGAGAGCGGCCGAGGCCGAGGCCGAGGCCTCTGCCAGCTTCTCTGAAGCTGTTGTCAATTTATTACCACCGGGAAAAGTGGCACCATCTCCAGCACCGAGGAGACAGAGGGCTCGCATCCAGCAGATATCTGACCACTGCCTCCCAGTAGCCTGGCCACAGTCAACAAGCTGTAACCTCAGGTGCAATTCCTACACAGACAACCCACCGGGCTGTCTCAGACGCACATTCACCACCTCCAGGAAGACACACACACACACACACACAAATTCATCCCTTGTCACTTTATAGACTACAAAAGCAAGACTGACGGCGAACATAGATTTCATGACATAAAATATGAAGTCTCTCTACTACCTTAGAGGGAAGTGATGCTTTTGAACTGTGGTGTCAGGGAAGACTCTTGAGAATCCCTTGGACGGCAAGATCAAACCAGTCCACCCAAAGGAAATCAGTCCTGAATATTCATTGGAAGGACTGATGCTGAAGCTGAAACTCTAATACTTTGGCCACCTCATGCGAAGAACCAACTCACTGGAAAAGACCCTGATGCTGGGAAAGACTGAGGGTGAGAGGAGAAGGGGACAACAGAGAATGAGATGGTTGGATGGCATCACTGACTCGATGGACATTAGTTTGAGTAAGCTCCAGGAGTCGGTGATGCAGCCTGGCGTGGTGCAGGCCATGGGGTCGCAGATAGTCAGACACGACTGAGCTGAACTGCTATCTTAGTCTGCTGGGCTTCCTGCCCTACTGGACCTGCCGAAGTGGGACAGCTGAGCCCAGTCACTCAGACAAGCTGCTGTGTGTACCCTCTAAGCAGACATCAGCCCCCCACCTTCCTCATACAAGGGGCCAGGGCAGGGGGCTGCTTGTTTATCATCCTGGCATGCCCGTGATTTCATGGCAGTGATGTCAATTCATTTCCAAATTAGATAAAAATTATGTCAAGCCCATTCTGTGAACTCAAAATAATTGTTTTAAAATTGTATTTTCCCAGGAAACTCTGGCAAGACCAATAATTCTGAAACATCTTTGCTTAAATACAGGGGTAAAACAAAACACCATCTTTCTCATACCACTGTTGCAAGGATAAGGTGTCATTTTCCTCCATTCAGGATTCAAAAATCAGTACTGGATTCAAAGTTACATGGCTTGAGCTGTAATTGCAATTCTGCTACTGCATTATAAGAAACTGTGTGCCATCAGTGAGTCACGACCACAGAGAATTCTCAAACAGCCCCCACGAGAATGTCTTCTTGCCCTTACAGGTCAAAATGCCACGGGTCTCAGAGGTGAACCCCACTACCCATGACTCCCACGCCATAAAGCATGAGAAAGGGAGCACAAGGGACAGAAGCCCCCCCCACCATCCCCCAAAATGAGGTACAGGCACCTGCTCTCCCCTCTGCCCCATCCCGTTTCCTACCACACCTCCCAGTGAGGGCTCCAGACTAGACTGCTTCAAACTCTACCACCAGATAACTTTCTGTCACAGCTAACACTAAACTATTTCAACTTTTGAAAGGGAATCTTGAGAAGATAGGAAACAAATAAAAGAAAAAAGAGAAAAGAAAAATGAAAAAGCATGACTCTTAAAACCACTTTTCCCCCCAACCATGACCCCATCTTCACCCGCCCACAATGAGGAATCCCGGAGAGTGCTGTGAGGCGTAGTGAGGCCCAGCTCCAGATAAGGTCACTGCACTGCACACGAATGCTGATTACACAGCACCCACTCAAGGGCATGGCAACCCACCCGTGTTCCTGCCTGGAGACCCACAGACAGAGGAGCCTGGCGGGTCCATGGGGTGGCAAAGAGTCGGACACAGCTGAGCGACTGACACTTGACGACATGCACACAGAAGCACACATGTATACACATTCAGAGATAACACTGCTTACAATCCTTATTACTCCCAAAGAGTCTTGGAGGCTGCCTGCTATTTCAGCTTTCTCTGCATCACACCCCTTAGAAAGAGCACCCTGAGACTCTGGGACCTACACAGAAGAACTTATTCCCATGGTAACAAGTCTAGTTTCCGTGCTTTCCATTTCCATGCGTGCATGCAAAGTCACTTCAGTCGTGTCCAACTCTTTGCAACCCTATGGACTATAGCCCACCAGGCTCCTCTGTCCATGGGATTTCCCAGGCAAGAACAGTGGAGTGTGTTGCTGTGTCCTTCTCCAGGGGATCTTCAAGACCCAGGGATCGAACCCAGCATCTTTTACATCCCCTGCGTTGGCAAGCAGGTTCTTTACAACTAGCGCCATCTGGGACACTGATGCTTTCCAGCAGTCCCTAAATAAGAAAGCACATTTTGTTTAACATACTAACTGCCTTTAAGAAAATGATTCTTGAAACATACACAGGTTCTAAAACAGGGTGATGTGTTATTTAGAACTGCTATCAAAACAGTATGAGGAACAGCAAAAAGGTGGCCCTGCAATGCAGCCTGCACAAACAGCAACACGAACCAGAAAAGGGCATGCTCACAACAACTTCACAACAGAAAGACAGAAGCCTCGATGTCTGAGTGTTTAAAAGAAAAAAAAAGAAAAAAGATAAGTCAGGCTTTATCAGAGTGAAAGGCAACCTATCAAGACAAACGACAAAAACCACCTTTCTTAAGGAGGTGGTAACAGAATTAAGTTTTCAATGATCCCAATAGAGATGTATAGGCCAGCTTTTCTTAAAATTCCTTCCTCACTATCGTTAAGCCCTGACTATGCCGATGAAAACAAGAGTTACGATTGGTTGACTAGCTGGCAGGGCTAGTCTCTTCCTAAATGCGTAATTGTAGTTTTTGTTCTTTTACCCTAATTTCACCACCATTCAATCCCTGACACCTTGCTACCTTTCTGTAACTGAAAGCTGATTTTTCCCAGTTAGTTTGACTTTTATTTCTTAAAAAATTCCAAAAGCACCAAAGCATCACCACCCCTGAAGAGCAGGATGAGAGCACGCCTGTCACAGCAGTGAGTCCAACGCCACCGTAGCCATCACTCTGCTGTGACCGCAGTCCCAGTAAAACGCCACCCCAATCATCCTCTCCCCCAGAACTTCAGAGCAAAACAGTACGTTCAGTGTGGAGCAATGAAGGCAAGACTGGTCACACATGCTCTTTAAAATGATGTGGGGTTGAGCATTCACTCTATTCCCGGCAGTCAAGGAATGAGTGGGGTTCCTCCACTGGAGGAGACCCATGACCACACAGGGCTCTGAGCAGTACACTGTGGCAAGAGAGTACTCAAATTATTTTGATTACACACACACGCAAGATTCAGTAAGGGCCTTTCCCCATCACACTGGCTTGGCCTTCAGTCACACAGTACCAGGATAGAGTGACAGAATACGAGTGGTGGCAGGGCAGACCCAGGGGCACTTAGGAAAGCCATCTCAGGAAACCCTGCCATCGCCTTACAGAAAGAGTGCACCAACAGGTCTTGTCTGGAAGCACTGGTTCCAACAAGAGGCTCCCAGACAACTCACCTCACAACTAAGCAGGATGGAAAAACCTCCACGCCCTGTCAACCTGTCAGTCAGCAGCCTGGCAAGCTGCCAGGTTCCCATGTGCCATGATTTTACCACTCCACCATTACAGCAAAGACGCAAAAAGAATAGGTTCTCCTCTTCCTTATCTCCTTACTTCAAACAAATACAAGCAGAAAAAGGTCAATTCACTCATGTTTAATCCAAGAAATTAACAAGAGAGGCCGTGGAATGCTGCTGCCACAGCCACAACCCTCGAGATAAAATATAAACGGTAACCAAATGCTTGTTCCGAAACGGTCTTCACTGGCTGATGCCATCTGAGTCACACTAACCCTGTCAAAAAGAGACATCAGACTGGGACAGGGGCAAGTTTCCCGGCAGGCCTCAGGGATCCACTTGACAAGCACCCAGGAGGAGAACACGGGACGCACAGCAAACACCTGTGTCGTCCACCTGCCGCCGCGCAGGCACCGGCCTGGACCTTGGGAGGCTCAGAGCCAGAGAGACAGCGCGGCAGGCAGCAGGCACACAAACTCAGGCTGCCTCCTCTGGAAACAGGGGCCACAATCAGCAAGGTCATCCAAGGCAGCTTCTGCTCCCCTATGTGGAAAGACAGATGTTCCCAGAAAAACCTGTATATCCAGCTCTCCACACAACCCAGGAAATAGCAGAAACCAGATCGCAGCCCTGGTCTACAGGGCACACACAAATGAAGGCACCTTGCCAATTATGTCATGCAGCACATAAAGGAGCATGAAAATGAATCCATAAACCCAACCAGGGTAACTGCTGTTAGGGGCCCAGCCTGAGAAGCACGAGCCGCCCCAAGCAAGCACACCCATCTCAGAAACAAGGCCGGGGCCAGCACGGCATCCAACCCGACAGGACAGGCAACTCACCGCTCACGGCCTTCAGGCTCCCAGGAATGCCTTCCCCGTGCTGCCTCTTCTGGGCGTTCTTGAACTCCTTCAGAGACAAATAAAGGACTTTACGTACCACCCTTTCTTCTGACCACGGAATCCCATCACTGTCATCCTGGGGAAACAAGGAAGAACGGGGAGAGGAGTGTTACTTCAAAGAAAGGAAGCAAATGTTCAAGAGTCAGAATAAACTTAAAAAAAAAAAAAAATCCCAAGCAAGTACTGTGTGACTGAGAGCCAGTTCCAGAGATGAGAACTACATCCTGAGAGAGGACACTGGTCCGTCCTGGAGGGCCACCCCTCAGGCTGTAACGGGACCAGAGGAGCATCTCCCTTCACACGCCCCGTGCCCAAATCGTGTCATTAACTGGTAATACTGAAGTTTTATATTCTTGGCAAAGTTTAAAAAAGAGCGGTGCGGCAGCCATAACAAGAAGGGTAACGCATCACTGTACTGGAGCTCTTTGAAGTGAGCATTTCCAGAGCGTAGGCACCTCACAAACATGTGCCCCACTCTTTGGGAAATGTTGTTGCTGGGAATGGGTGCTGCTTTCAAGGAATTTACCGTTTAGTCAAAAGAAATGAAACTGGATCTGCACTGGCCTTTTAAGGGAATGAATCACACAAAAAAAAAAGTGAGAGAGGGAGAGAGACCACTGCAGAAAAAGGGCAATGGATCTTGGTGGAATAGCGAATGGGGTGGTGGGGGGTGGTTTTTCAAAGAAGAATACACACAGTAACAGGTCTCGAAGGTTTCATTTAAGAGTGGCTGCCCTGGTCTGTTGTATCAGATCTAGTGTAAGCTCTTGAGAGAGCACTGACCAAAACAAGGGCAGGCTGGGAGGACAGGGGAACCAAAGCAGCAGCAGCCCACCCAGGGACCATTCTGGCAATTCCAGGAGCAAAGATAGACTGCAGACCAGCGGGGATGGGGCAGGACCGGGGCCCAGTCTGGAAGACAGAGGTGCCTGGAGATGGCTAATACGGTGCGCCAACCAAGTTAGCTCTTTCATGGAACCAGCAAGAAGGCTGTCAAGGTTTAAAGAGCTGCTTCCCACAGCCTGAGACCCTCACAGGTTCTATCCTGTGTACATCTGCCTACAGTGGACATCTGATCTCCTGTGGACATCTGCTCATCTGAGAAGTCCTTACAGTCACACACCTGCTTCAAGACTTCATTTTTCTAAGAGCTCAATTTAGAGATAGGAGGATTATGGGCTTCTTGGGTACTTGGGGTCTTAAGCGAGTAAGTAACTTCGGGAGGTGGCGACGGACAGGGAAGCCTGGCGTGCTGCAGTCCGCGTGGCTGCGGTCAGAAATGACAGAAAAGCGGGGCTCTGGTTCTCCGGGCTCCTTCTGCGCAAACAGGAGGCCAAGCATGACCAGTCAGGCTGCTGCTGCTTCTGCTCTCCCCACCCTACAGAACCGGCTTTCACTCCCTGCCACTACCGGGTCACTAAAGCCTCCTCCTAAAGCCTCCGGCGGAGATAGGGGAGGTCGATTATCCAAGCTCTTCTCCGCGTGTAAATTCCTAAAACTCTGCATAAACACACACTGCATCTTAGAAATCCAGCCACACAGTCTCTAAGCCCCACATAACGGAAGCTGTGCTCCTGTTAATCTTCCAGGATTTCCTAGAATGACAGTGATTCTCCATCTTCTGTAAGAAGGGGAAGAGAAGGCCTAGGAGCAAAGAGCCAGGATTCCCACCTTTCCGGGGCTGTCCCTGGTGCCTCACACCTGCTTCCAGCACCTCCAGGAGGAGAAGACACACCCTCTCCCCACAGTGGCTCTCCGGAAAGCACCAAGGCATCTACAGACCAGGGTGGTGGTCAAGTTCACACATGAAGACTGAGCGCGACCCCAGCAGACTCCACCGCACACAGCCTCTCTGTACCACTCTGTACCACCACTCTGTACCAGCCACCAGAGGCCAGGCAACTCCACGGCTGAAAACCAGGAAAACCAAGAGCTCCGACCAGACCCCACTTGAGGAGCCTAAGGAACCAACCTGCCTAAAAGGCCAATGATTCAGCTACCCAAGAGGTGAAAAGCACAAAGAATTCACTCCTGGCAGCGAGCAAGCCCCGTGAGTGTGCGTGAGCGTGCCTCCAGCAGACTGGTTCCCCCGAGTGACAGTCTCAGCCTTGGGAAGAGTCCACGCTCATGGGCTGAAATCTACCCTCCAGGACCCAGGGAAGCCTCCCGACAGAATGGTCTCCACCACTCCAGGTTCCTATCCTCAGCAATCAGGTCTCCACCACAAACCAGGCCGTGACTATGAACGATAATGTCCTACATACACACGGTTTATAAACTGTAAAGCCCCAAAAATAGCTTTCAATGTAAAATTCCTATGACAATTTACTGCTTCCTGTTCAGACTGCAGCCTTTATTCTGACTCCAGGTCTTCCAAAGAGAGAACTAAACACCCTGAAGACTGATATCTAATTAAAACAGACAAACCTTGTGAGAGGAAAACTTCTGCAAAGGAAGACCCATTTAACGCTCATTTAATAATATCAGCAGCTCCGTGACACCTATCTGGATAGTGTGTTAGTTGTTCAGTCGTGTCCAACTTTCTACAGCCCCATGGACTTGTAAGCCCGCCAGGTTCCTTTGTCCATGGCATTCTCCAGGCAAGAATACTGGAGTGGGGTGCCATCCCCTTCTCCAGGGGATCTTCCCAAACCAGGGACTGAACCCGGGTCTCCTGCATTGCAGGCAGATTCTTTACTGTCTGAGCCAGCAGGGAAGCCCAATAAGATAAGATAAATACAGGAGAAGGAAATCTAGGACTCAGAATACAGGGTTTCAAGTTCTAGACATTAAAAATAAAAATAAACCACCACACACGAGTTCTTTAATAATCTAGACTGCCGGTCAAGACTTGTCACCTCCCTCAATGTTGATGCAAGACACAAACCTAACAAGTAAGAAGTCGACTCTACCCTGTTTCCAAAAGCCCAGCAGGTTAAGTGATGATTTAGAAATGAGAAATCAAACTGCCGTTCACAGCTGTAGAGTCACAATGAATCCCCACATTCGGTGCACACCCCTCTCAAGTCGGAGGCTGGCAAGGTGGGCTTGCAGCCAGCCACGAGGCACACAGGGCCCTGCAAGCCGGGTGTCCTGGAAAGCTGGAAAAGAAGAAGGTACTTCGGGGGCCTAACACTTGCCTTCTCATAGTTCTGAACAACCCAAGTTCTACTGAGCACTCTAGAACACAGCCCAGGCCTAACCCTCTCATTAGAAGTCAGGAACTCCAAAGGCAAACCTCACCCCTGCCCCAAGAGCTTCCATGACCTTTTAAGTCCAGCCCTTCCATTTTCTCCTCCCTTTTTCAGTAGCTGTCTTATTTAACCAGCCAAAGAAATAACGTCTCCATGGAGTCATTTCTCCTGCTCCTCACAGTGTTCTCCCAGCACCCGTCACTGTGTGAGAGCTCAGGATGCTGAAAACTGGACCAACTCAACCTCATGCCTCCCACGTTACCACCCACAGCTGGCCTGCCAGTGCCGCATTTCCAGGATGGGTGAAGTGCAGGGCCTGAAATCACTCCAATTTCCTTGACTAAAAACACACTATCTCCGTAAAAAGGGCCCCACAGTGACGACTCCAACAGGCTCCAACAGGGCCGGGCAACCCCTCGCATTCTCAGTGGTAAGCCTGTCAACAACCTAACACCCGCACACCACCCCACTGCTACCACCGAGCTCCCTGTGAAGACAGCGCCCATCTCCAAGTCCACGTGGCCTTACAGAGCCCAAATCTACTGCCCCACAATCCCTTCACCTCGGTTAAAGGCTACCCAGATTCCTTCACTAAACAGCCTGTTCCTGTTCTCAGGTCCTCTCCCTGCCACCCGCCTCGGCGAGCTCCTCCTCCTGTTTCTCCCAGGAGCCCCTCCTTCTATCTCCTCCCACCTCTGTATTCACTTAGTCAGCCCCAAATCACTATCTTCAAATCGACTGATAGGCCAATGGCGCCTCAGTGTTCAAAATCCTCACAATCTCCTGTTGCCCTTCATGGGCCTGGTGGCTCTGTCACTCCTCAGAGGGAATCACCCTAGATCTGCACCGCAGCGCTGGAAGCAGAGAGCAAGCTCTTCTCCATGAAAGCAAGCTTCCTCTACCACACCCAGCCCCCCCGTCCATTTGCTTTACTGGTCAGCTTAATCAAGGCAGACAGAGTCACACCACTGATCCAACGTCCAGCAGTCTCATTCGGATGCAAATGCAGCCGCTCAGAGTGTGTGGCCAGTTGTGGTGAGTGGCATTAATGATTTAAAAATAGCTCCTGTCATTTGGGGTTTCCATGATAAGACCTCTAGGTTAACTGATCATCTAAATCTTAAGAAGAATGAACTCCCAGATGACACACCACCCTTCCTCATTCCTACCCCACGATCTCTGATTTCTCCCCATGCCCCTCAAAATGCTCTGCAAACACTGAAATTAACAACAACAACAAAATTAGATCTGCTGGCAGACAGAAGGAGGGAGGGGGGGAGTCATCACATAGATTTGCTTTGCAACTAACTTCTAGAAATCACTTTCTTTGGCAAATGGAAGACTAAATAATAAGATCTTTCAAAGTACAAGTGAGTTTTGTTTTCATTTGCAAAACATCTACCATTCTTTGAAAAAAGTTTGAAAATGGCAAGGGCTCAGGCATTAAAGTAGAATGTATCTCATCATAATCTTATTGAAGAAGCTGCTCTAAGCTTTGTAACAGACATATAAGAAAAGGGGGCACAGAAAGTAACCATGTGAAGACACCACGTGGCAGATATCACCACCGAAGGATTCTCCAAAGCCCACAGAGCAGCTTAGAGATACAACAGTGCTCTGAAGACCACCAGTGCCTTAACTACTCAGCAACTTGTAGAAATGCAGGCTCATTTTAAGACTCCCTGGTGATGCCCGCACAAGTGAAAGTTTCAGAAGCTCTGCTGTACAGACGAGCCCCATCCTGCCCATCTCACATCACTTTCTACCTTCCACTGGAAAACAGGCAAAGATGAAGATGAGATGAAACCCTAGATGAATGCTTCTAACCACCATCTAACTGTTGAAGTCTGTATTAATATACTGAGCAATCTTTCCTTTGACT